GATGCCAGTGGAGCTGCTTCTGTCAAAATCCATGTGCCACACATTCTAGTGGGGCTGGGCAACTTCCAAATACTACTGCTGGCAAAAATTCCTACCATGGGTGCTAAGGGAGCATTCCAGCTCCAGTGGCTTACTTCTGAATGGAGCAAGGTGAGGAGGAGCAAATGCAGCCATTCATGACACAAGATTGCACCAAGAGGAGGAGGAAAACCTTAAAGCACAGAAGACTGAGAATAAAGTTAAAAAGCAGCTAAAATGGCATTGTGGCAGCAAAGCTTGAGAGCATCCCACTGGGCACCACTCAGCGATTCAATGTGTGTAGAGAGGGAATGCATCCTGAACAATGTGAGAGCAAAGCTGTGGATTGTAGAACATGTTACTGAAAGCCACAGGTAGACACAAAAACAGTAGCCTGGCCATGCCAAAATTATTGTGGGCCATTCAGTGGAAGTCAGACCAATAAGCAATGAGTGAAACACACACAGCATCAGAGAACGGGTGCAAAGCTCAGCAGAGCTGGAGGTTCCTTCTGCAGAGGAACAGCCACCAGGCTCCCCCTCATCCCTGCAGGGGAGGGCAACCAGCCCAGCGCCTTCCCATTGTTCCCCCTGCTCTCCACCGCCCACCACACCTCAGGTGGGGGACACAGTGTCCCAGGCTTGCCACAGCCACTAAGTGCAAGGCAGAATAGAGGCTAGTCCCTGCATGCAGCTAGTACAGATGCAGGAGCTGAAGTCAGGCATCCTTCGGTGTATCCAGGTAACAGACTGAATTTCCTCATTGAAAATTCCCACCTGTTCCTTTCTCATGTTGGCCCAAGGAGCAGTCAATGGTCTGCTCTGGGCAACCTGTGTCTAACACGAAGCTTTTGAGTGCACACATACAGAGTAGCAGAAACAATTCCTATTCAGAGAGCATTTTCATTTTTAAATGACTCATGCATAAATTTCAAGACTTGGAGGAAGTGTATAACGTTAATCATTCCCTCAGCAAATTATTAACCATGTTCGAGGTAGCACTGCAAAACGAGGCACACAGGATCTGTGTGCTCTCTCGTGGGTGTGCTGTCCCCGCTGTCTGACAGCAGGGAACCTGTTGCAACAAAACTGCTAAAATTACAAGTAATTTTCACAGTGAATTTCAGTGGCTCTAGGCAAAAAGAAAAAAAAAAACAAAAACATTACCTTGATGATCTCACATTTATGATTACAGAGGATAGATGCAGAAGTATTGCAGGTCCCTGTGTGAGGTGGTCACTGAGGGAGGAGTGGGGCTTGATGCAACCTCTGTGGGAGATTTCTGGAGTGACAGTACCAGGAGGGGCAGGTGGGGAAGTTGCCAGGTTGCACAGTAACATCATGGGTTCTCTGGCAATGCCATATACTGGGATTCACCCCTTTTCCTGCAGCCATCCCTACCCTGCATTGCATCCCTACATCTGGCCCATGGTCTCTCCTGGAAGCAAGGGCAGAAACAAGGCTTTTCCACAGCTTTCTGAGGTTAGTGAAGAGAGTAACATGGTGTTCCATTTTTTTGACTGCATTTGGAGAATTAGAAGTCACCCTGTAAACCTCCTACAGAGTCTGCCATGTTTAAAAATGCTGGCAGTGTGTGACCAGCAATAGGACATTTTAGCAAGATTTTAACACAAGATGCCACGTGTCTCTTCGGTGCTACTGCAAACCTACTGTTGCATGGGTCTCACAAGTGAAAAAACACAAAAGAAAGTGTTTCATCCTGCCCTCTCCATCCTGTGCTACCACAATGAACCAGAACTGTTGGGGACTGAAGGCCATGACAAACAGATCTCTTTAAATATTATTTAACACACTTGGAAGCCACATCTGATAAAACCTAGTGTGCTGAACACTACCTCAGCCCACAGCATTTGCTCTCCTAACTGAGCAGTGAGGTATTCCAGGAAAGAGAGCCAGAGGAGGACCAGCCCCAGACCTCACACCGGCATTTATCTCCCGTGCTCGTGAGTCAGACACAGGAATGATTTACATGATGCATTCAGATCTACAGTCTTCAGAGGTGTTGCAAGAAATGAGTTGCAGGGTTCACTTTTGGGGAGTCAATAGTTTATTAGTCCAGGGATTTCATTAGTACATTGTCTCATCTCTGTGTGCCATAGTTTTCTCTAAAAAGCCTTTCCAGAGAGAAAGAAGAGCTGTAGCAGATTGTAAAGACACAGAACTCAAGTACTTCCTTTCTCTGCAGCAGCCCTCTGTAGATCCTGCTATCTTCACCAATACTGCTGCTGTAAGGAGCCCTTTCTCCCATTTGTATCTGAACCCCAAAAAGTCCAAAAGAGAGAACTCAGGTCTTCATAGACTTCCATGGGGTTAATGCCGAAAGGTTTAAGGGAAATACTTACATGTGACGGTCAAATCCACAGTACATCCATTGATTTTATTGAAAATATCTTTCTTTTTACTTGACTAAATTTTATCAATAGTTCTCCCAAATCCAAAATCCTGTAGCACCATGCAAATCCACATCGTGCCATAATAACAAATAAGTGTGTTTTCTCCCAAAACATAAGTAAACTTTTCTTCTTGCAGTTCATCTGTCACCATTACAGATTACAGAACTGGACATGCTCTGTAATTCCGCTTACAAATCTGACCTATCTTCTTGAAGGGAGCTTTTTATAACAGCTATTTCACTATAATTGGCATTTTGTGTGTTCTTAGACTTCTTTTTTCTGTACTTATTTTATTTTATTTGGACTCTGTGAGTTTTGACATTTTGGCCTTGGTGCACTCAGTGCTGTGACTCACGTATTCCACAGCCACTGCCAAATCTCTGGGTCCAGCATTGTAATTATCACATTAGGATCTGTCATTGTAGCCCTGACTTAATAAATAGCAGAACAGTGATTAAAAATGCTGATTGATCCGTTCCACAGTTTTGGACTCTCACATCTGAAGTGCACAGAGGAACTCTTTAAGATATTGAAGACTTGAAATATCAGCATTCCAGAGTAAATTAGTATTAATCACTCATTCCAGTACACTAGCTTTTATATATAGTAAGAGTTGCTGTATTTGGTAATCTGGTGATGGTCATCTGAAACCATGACTCAGATTAATCTCATGAGCTGCAAGGGAAAACCCCAGCCCTTCCTCCACGCCCAGCTTGCTGCAGCCATTTAGATCAGAGCATATGATCTGGGTTCCATCAGGTGGCAGTCACAGTGCCCTTCAGGAATGCATCTCAGGCACTGCAGTCCCAGGTGGACATTCAATCCACAGGACCAGACTAGACCAGGTTCAAAACAAGAAAAGCCCCAAAACGTGCAAAGTGCAGATGCTCAGCACCAGCTCTCTCCCTCCACATGCACAGGTCAGAAATAACACCCTGATAGTGTCTGAGCTACAGCTCCATGGAGAACATACTGTTGCTTGTGGATTTTCACCCTACAGCTTTCCCCATGCTCTGCCTGAAAACCTGTGGCAAGCATGGAGCCTGCAGGGTGAGCCAAAAGGGCCAGTGAGGTTGACTGGGACATGAAAGGTGGAGGCATATGTTTAAACTCTTTTGTTACAGAGGCAGTGCTGTGCTGTTCAGAGACCAGCAGCAGCCCCAGAAGATAGGATTGCAGAGATTTCTGCTTGCTATGAACAGGAAAAGTCAGGTGAGATGCCATGCCCACTGCACAGCTCTTCGTGGCAGCTTGTGACATCTCAGGGGAATGGACCTCACTGTTTTTTTTTCTCTGAAAATGCATATGTTTTAGAAAGAAATTCTGTTATCCTAGAAGGACTGGATGGAGATGAGCGAGGATATGAGAACTTACAGGGCAATTCCAAATTTTTATCATACCATCAATGTATCCTGATATCATAATGATGTTATGAACATTGATGGCTTTTATTCCTAAGGGCTGTATGATCAACATGGACATTGTGCATTTCTTCAAAACCTGCTTGGTTTGTATTTGTAGCTTGACAGATATAGAATAGACTGAGGGAATGTGCTGCTTATGTACAGCTATCCTTTCAGTTCATAAATATAATCTTAAAAAATAATTTGTGCAATTTTGTTTTCATTTTTGAATGGGGGAAAGGTTCTGAGAGTTTAAAAATTCTGAAAACTAAAATTTCTAGACTGCTCTGGGTTGACCTTAGGTTGCATGCTGACAGCTCAAAAGCATTTTTCCAAAATCCAGCAACATGGATCTTGTCTGCACTCATTTCAAAAGGCTTCTTTTTTCTGCTCTTGTCAACACTTTATTCTAGATCAGAAATTTCCTTCCACAGATATCTTAATACCACACAAGCATTGAGTCATTCTGCAGTGGGATGCTTTACCCCCAGAGAACTGATAGAAGTCATCTCCTCAGCAGAGGAAATTGTGGGCAAACACTCAGCATGCTCATTCCTGTCCAGAGCATTTGGTACATGAAAACCGTGCAGCCCAAAATGGGGAATCCAAGTTTCCCCTTATTAGTGCTGCATGTTTTTGCCTTCATCATCTGGGAAGATGAGCTGCCAGGCTGAAAGATTTGGCTTTTCTGAGTCACGTGGCCAAAATTGCAATGACTGTACCTCTGACCAGCCTAGTGAAGAGGAAAACAGCACAAATATACCCAACAGTAAGTGAGGATTAGGGCACACCATGCCACCTACTTGCTTGCTGTCCCTGAATGTATCATTTCACTTCTCTCCAAAAGTGGGGTAACAGTACTCGTCTACATTTCTAAAGTGTTTCCAGGCTAAAGGCCAAAAACCTTTTCTAGGAGTGATTTTGGGTTTTTTTAACTGTCACCACAGCCCCATTTTTATGTGAGGGATATTGTGCACTCGTCTTTGAGGCCCCTGGTGCTCCCTGCCTTGAGATCCCAGGTTGCTGTGCAGCCCGTGTTCAGAGATGTGAGGAATCCTCACTGCACTTCTCAAGCAGCAAACTAGCCCAGCATGCACAATCTTTTTTCTACTTGAAAACATCCTTAGGGATTTTCTACTGAGGCTCAAAGGCAGTCATATATTTTATTTATTTTATTACAAGGCATGTAAGTAAAAACTTGCATATCTGAAAAAAGATATTAGATAGAAAACAGTAATAAAATTAACATTATTATCTTAATAAAATTGGTAATAAATACATTTCCCCTCGACATTAAAATGCTTGTTATTTTGCACAACAATAAATACAGCATAGCTCTGGCACAGAGAAAGGCCAAGGATAGATACAAGAAGTCCATGTGATGGCATAAAAAAGCTCAGGTGATTTTTAAAGGTTTGGCATCCTGCACTTGATGCACTTTGATACAACTTGCACTTTAATTTTACTATGATTTTTAAATAGTTCCATAATATGAAAACAGGAGAGGAAAATTTGTTTGACTACAGGGTTTTTCCTTTAAATATTTTCAAAGTAAGAGATGTGTAAACTCACTGAAACTAATCCTTGAAATAAAGAAAAAATACCAAACATACAAACAGGTGTCTTTGTGCTTATTCTACAAAAATGCATTTTTTTTCAGCTGTGGGTGCTCAAGCCTGACCAGCCAACTGACAAGGGACCAATCTCCAGTCAGTTCCTCAATTCTTTACACAGTTTTAAAAATGAAATATTAATAACAAGGAGAAAGAGTAAAGACAGTAGTATTCACTTCCCAAGTTATGGCATTTGAGGTTCTTACACTATTATCCAAAGGTGAGAGGAGAAAGAACAGGTGTATTCCAGAACAGTTCCCAGCATAATTTTGGGTCATTCTGGTCTATAATTTTCTTTTAAAACTACTGACCAAAAGGAGAAAAAAAAAAAAAAAAAAAGGAAGAGATATTTCCATGCATTGTGCTGTTCTTATGCCAGCACATATCATCACAATCACAACTGTGAACCTAAGTCACTGATAGCCCAATCTAATATAGATTGATTGATTGTCCTATGACAAAGTTAGATAATGTCCACAAAATGCCACAAGCTCTGGCAGAGTCCAGTGTTCTTAAAGTACTGATAGGTCATGGCAAGACTTGGACTTGAGTTTGAAGGCCATGTTCTTGTTGTTCTTGGCAACTATTTTGCCCCAAAACCGCCTGGCTTTCTTGGGGATGCTCTCTCTCCGTTTCTGTAGTGCCAGTCGCTTCTCGTTCTTTTCCTTGCTGTCCCTCCGGAGCCGGACCTGCCGCACGATGCCTTCGAACAGCTCCTTCACGTTGTGCTGCACAGCTGCTGAGGTCTCAATGAACTTGCAGTCAAACACCACTGCACAGGCTCGCCCCTCTGCAAAATCACAAGGGGGACACATGGGGTCACAAGGCCCAGGAAGGGGGGAGCAGGGACAAGCTGCCACGTGCGGGGGCATCAGAGCCACCGGGGAATTCCTCAAGCCTGATATAGGCTCAGATAAATCTTTAATCACCCGATGCTGCCTGCTAGCCCACAATCCATCTGCCCTGCGTCACAGCTGCTTCCCAGAGGAGGGGGGAGGGATATGGGGGGTAAATCCCCTCCCGGTAAAGCCCAGCCCGAGCTGCTGGCTGTGAAGGTAGTGCAGAATGACTGACTTGAGCTGAGACACTGAAGGCTGGGAGGCCAGCAATGTCTCAATACCACCTGGCCATCTTCAGTGGAGACTCCTTCAAGCTGCACTGAAGGGTGATGCTGGCACTCTGCAAACATACAGCACAGCACTGGAAGCAGGGAGCTTTCCTCCTTGGGCCGTGGTGTAAGCCAGAGCCTTGGAACTGTGGCAATTTCAGTAAGAACAGACACATGTACAAAACCCTTAATAAAGGGTGTCTATGGCTTTAGGGGTACATCTGAAATCTTAGCTCTTATTCTCAAATACATGAGCCTAAGCTAAATCTCACAGGTGTCTTTTACACACAAGTCTTCTGGCTTGCTGTGAATTCTTTGCCAAGGCCACTAAAGCAACATGAATTTACCTGCCATCTTTCTAAAGAACTTTCAAGCTGGGAAAAGAGGAATGAGAAGGCAACCCTGGGCTCCCTATGAACCCCTCAGTTCAAGCTCTTGGGGCAGCTGTGACAGGAGCCAGAGGAACTGTGCACATCCACAAAGAAAGGGAAAAAAGTCTAGCTCAACTGGGAAACAGAAGAGCAGAACACAGAGAAGAAAATGCTGAGCAGAAGAACCCACGTTTCTGATGGGCCAAGACGAGAATGTCTAATGCATGGTTGTGTATTCCGGCGTGTCACCTCAGCCTTAGGGAACACTCTCCAAGAAGAGATTTTACTAACTGAAGATGTTGGAAGCCAGCAGCAGTGCTCCCAACAGTCTCTCCATTCCTATTTATGGGCTTAGTGGTTATTCATTTGTGTGCAGCCAAGGGAAGGCTGATTTAGCATCCCAAAACAGGGCAGTAAGGGGGACCTCTTTTGAAAGGCTGCACAGTTCCTGCCCAGACTAGCAAAACAAAGATTGAGAGGGAATTCTAATTCATCAGGGAGGACAGAGAACTGGTTATAAGGAAGAGAATTTTTGGCAGCAGAATAAAGGGGGCTAAACTTGTTGTGCATAAATATGCATGTGTTTTGGGAATACAAGGGGTTACAGCTACCAGAGAAATCACATATTGCAGTCGTCTTATACTAGGAGCTGGAAGAGAAGAAATCCCATTTATGATGGTACTTAATAAATATAGAAAAGGGATTATCTGACATATAACAGTATTACCAAGGAATGCTTAAGGACCTGGCAGACCCTTCCTAGTCCTCTGCCTTCTGTTCCAGTCTTCTTTTATTTTCTTACTCTTTTATTTCCCAGTCCCAATCACAACGTACTCCCTCAGCCAGAGCACTGCAGTTTGTCCAAAAGCTACTAGATGATTTTTAATGTTTATCTCGGGTTTATACTCATCATTTCCTTACCTGCCACTGAAACTTCACGGCACCTGACAAGGTCACTTTTATTGCCAACCAAAATAATGGGGATATCTTCTTTCTGGCGTGCCCTGCGGAGCTGTATTCTGAGTTCAGAGGCCTTCTCAAAGCTTGCTCGGTCTGTGATGGAGTAGACAATCAAGTAGGCGTCTCCCACTTGCATGCAGTGGTCTCGAATCCATTCTCCCTCACGCTGTTCAAATTGAATAGTCAGACATCGTTATGCCCAGAGCAGATTTTACTTAGAAAGTAAAACATTAGAGAATCCAAATGCATTCCTGCTGTAAACTGTAATGGGTATGGTTTGAATCACAGTTATACTACAAGTAATTCCAATGTGATGATGGCATGAATGCTTTACCACAAAGGAGGGCAAAAACTTGCCCCCAGATAATTTATTGTGTTAGCTTTAGGCTGGAATGAACATGATCTGGAAAGAAAGCTTGAATATTTTGTTTTATCATTAAAAAATTGAAGACTTGCATTTCTTGGGCTCACAGTGCAGAGCCATTAGGCATGCTTGCCTTGATGTGGGGTTGGGTTAATCCTATATCTTGACTCTGATGTATGGAAACACCTATTTTCTTTCCCAAAGGAAACTTACTTTTTATATTAGCAGTTATTCATATACACTTTCCTTTCAGCATTGGCTAGAACAAATTAAAGTACCTTATTATCCCACATGTCGAGCAGTACAACAGTCGCACTTTCCCCATCCACCATCAGAGTTCTTTCATACGTGTCTTCTGGAAAGACAAGCAGAAATATATTGTGATATATTATTCTGTGTCATCATATACATTACAAAAATCCAAGTTGCTGAATGTGGGGGATTTATTCACAGAGTTATTGAGCCAAATTTTTGGCCGGCTCACATCCAGTTCTTTCCTCATTTCCATCAGCACTGAATCTGCGCTGTGTTCATTATTGGTTGCCTTACTTTCCATGATAGATGAAGGAGGCTGAAAGATCAGGAAACAAAATGTTCATTATTTTGGCTGATAGTCTCTTTATCTTATGTGGGAGAGAGAAAATAGAACCAGTGGAAGAAATAACCAAAGGCTGAACATTTGCCCCATGGGAGCAGCAGAGTCCAGCAAGGCTGAGTAATGGAAAATATTTGCTTTCGCTTTAGCATGGACAATTTACGGGTGAACAGTCACTGCTGCTGAGAGCAATACAGCAAACAGCCTACCAAGTGAGAAGGACAGGGTGTTGTGAAACAACAGCTATTGAGCTTGAGAAAGACTGAGATTTCTGTTGCACACACTCTCCCATTACACAGTTTCCCACATCACCTTTGATGTCAAACAGCAGAAAAATGAAAAAAGCACAGGTCAGTTATTTTGTACTGCAGCCATAAAAATTCATACCTAGATTACAAATGCCATGTGGCAAAATTCTGCTTAGATCTAAGGGGTCTGTTACCACTCTGAATTTTGATCAACTCTTGCTGTGAAATCTGCTTCAAACACCAATCTTTCTTCTTTTCCTCAAAGCTGGGGACATGAGGATGAGCAGTGAGGGGTTTGGACCCATTTCTAATCTCATACTAGTGGTCAGTGAAAAAAAAGCTAGTCCTAAGGTACTGCAACATTTAAAGGATCTGTCCCAACCACACTTTAGATAGGGCTGTCTCTAACCTGTGCCTCGTAAGACTTCTGTGTATACTGATGAAGTGAACTTTCCCCTAAACCATAATCAGAGCCTTTCCTCAAAGCTAGGGATCTACATCCCAGGAAAAGAATAAGCCAAAAATATTACACATTTAAAATAAAGTCAAAATGAGCCCATGCTTAAAATGTCAAGACTAAAAAGACAGATAATCAGTAGGAGTGGTTTCCCTCAAGGTCCCAAGAGTATGAGGCTTGTGTTCATGAGTTAGCTTCATCTTACAGTCCGTAGCAAAACCTCTCCACAAAAGCAGCTGTACTCCTCTGTGAGCCAGCTACCCTGAAACTATCCTCTCACATAATGAAATTTCCAGTGTGTAAGCTAAAGTTCCAGTTTGTAAAGCTAAAGTAAATAATTTCTTCAAGTGACCAAGCGTCTGTGTGAGAAAAAGCTCCAGGCACAGCAGAGGACAAAAGAGTCCTTCTGTACTTCATTACATATAGAGAAGCTACAAATGCACAACCACACTCCTTGAAAATATTATGCCTAAATAGTCATCTTCAGCACCAATTTGCACCTTGGTCAGTCCTAAGGAACTTCCATATAATATAAAACACTGAAAGTGAATGCTTAACTCATTTCATGCTGTTTTTGAAGCTGACACTAAAAAAGGAGAGGAGATAACAGCAAGAGTTCCAATTATCTCTTCAGAGCTGGCCTTGAAAATCTGTCATTGCTATACTCCAAGCAGTGCTGCTGGCAGTGCAATGGAAAGAGGAAACCACATGGCTTCACCTGAAGGAAAAGAAAACTGCCTGACAGGGGTGTGCAAAGCAAATCAGCTGCACTTTCTGATGGCTTGTCCAAGGATCCTACCCTACTTCTGTCGTTTAGGACTAGGAAAGCTTTTATCAGAGATGCTCCAGGCTGAGGAGCTGGTAGAACTGTGGAAAAAGTTGATAGCAGAAGCTGAAGGCAGAGCACACCTAAATCAGTGAATTTTAAATCCCCCAAAGGCAAAATCTCTGTGTACCCAGTCTGAGACAGCAAGTGAGGAAAACGTGAGTTTGACCTTCCTGACACTGGGATTTTTTAGATCCTGGGCAAAACTTGCCCTAACTGGAGAGTTAAACACACAAAAAAGCAGCTGTCCTGCCTGTGTCCCACTGAAGGCTGGAAGAGAAGCCCAGAAATTCTCTCTGGTAGCACTGGCACCATCACACCAAGGGAATACAGGCAGGAGACAGAAGGGATATGGGGGAGACAAAGAGAGCCCTGCATGGTGACAAACAAAACCCAGCAGCAAACTGCATGTCCCCTGAAAGCAGCAGCAACTATGTCCTTAGAGACACAGCAGATTTCTGTGGCAGCACAGCCCTTCCACATCAACATCTTGCATACAATATAGTTCAGGGCTCGGTGCTCAGCTTCACCTTCTGCATGGTCTGATCTTTGGGGTTAAAGTACACTTTGCAATCCTAAACAAAGCAAAGGGGGAAAGCAAGGGGGAAGCATCAAAGAGAATCCTACAGCTCGTGTCTTTCCTCCATGGGCAACAGGAGTTTTCCTACTCTATTGAAAGACCTTTATTTTTTTTTCCTCCTGGAGAAGACCATACTGTGCAAGTACCATGAAACAAGTTTTTTACTCAAAATTTTATATATTTTACTCAGAGTCCATTTAGCCTGTACTAAGGCAATGTGATTATACAGAAAGGCTGAGATGGCCTTCAGATAGATAGATAGATAGACAGACTTCTAATGGTAAATCTTTTGGAAGTGGCTTTTTCTTTACATATGATTTTAAAGTATTTAATTATTGTAAATCATTAGGACCTTCAGTTGTTTTCTCTCCCAAAAGGAAAGCTGGAGTCCACCCTGTGATGCCAGTGGTGACACAAATGTTGGACCAGCATGAAAGCTGATGCAGACTCCTGTGCAGTATCATCACAGGCAGGAATGAGTCAGTTTCCAGCAGGTGTTTTGGAATAAAATAACATGGGACTATGAATTGCATTCTTTCAGGGGCTTTCAATCACTGTTGGAGAATATCTTACTCATCTTATTTTGCTTTCTTGCTCTCTTAAAAGAGGTGCTTGAGTTCAATCAGTTTTGATGATCAGACCCAAAAGTTTGTTACTTTTGGTTTACATTAAATGGCCTCTCCCTTTTTCTGTGCCAATTACTACAGGCAGAGCTGACTGCAAGCAAACACCAACACCCCAGGACATCATTACCTACCTCCCAGCACCTCACAGTCACTGTCAATGCTGTCGTGCACCCCAGCAAAGATGTTGGCCAGCGAGGACTTGCCCACGCCGTGCTCCCCGATCAGCACCACCCGGTAGCAGCTGCTGCCAGACTCGGAGGAGATGACGGAGTCGGATGACTCCGAGGACCAGCTCCTTCTGTAATATTCATCAGGACTGATGGTGTATCGTTTCTGTGGGTTGTACTCATTGGAGTCTTTCTGGACCAGCAGATTCTTTCCATCGGCAGGGATGCTCCATCGCTGCTGCTGCTGGTGCAGACTGCTGTTGTGGGTGCGACGCATGGTAACATTGTTCAGAGTCATTTTTAACCCCTAGTGAGAAATAGGGAAATCACAGATGTTACCCACAAAATATTTAGAAATGCTCCCTCACTAGCTTCAAGGGGACACATCATGCTCCTCTGTAGGGACCTAGTATGTGAGGAAAGAAAAATTAACCTTTCTGCACTCCTGTGTACTTGGTGGTGCACAAAGAAACATTTCAGTTATTAGCTAGTGAGACAGAGCCTGTTTCCTAGGGATAACACCACCCTCACATGCTCAATCCTGTCTTGTTTAGCCTTCACTAGCTCAGGGCTGTGTGAGGTGCAGCCCTGTCCTGGAGAGAGGGAGGCATTGCTGTGTCCCTGGAGGAGAAGGAAGGGACGGTGCTCACCACACCGGTCCCACACAGCAGCTGCAGCCCTGCTGAGAGACTGTGGAACAGGCAATGTCCACCTCCTTTTGGCTCGACTGGGGACAAACAGACACTCGTCTCAGTTGCCTCCCACTGCCAGTGCAGCTGGGTGTACAGCATCTTTCTCCTTGTCTCAGCTAGAAGCTGGAACTCTTGGAAAGCAATAAGGCATTATTCACTGCACTCTTAGACAACCCTGGTACAAAAAGTCATGCAAGCAAGTCCTGCTGTAATGGGGTGGATTTGGTCTTATCTGTGGCCAGGTAAACAAAGAATGATTCTGCCTCAGACAGTGAATTTTTGGCTGGTAAAAGGGGGGATGTAGTGAAATCCAACAGCTTTTCTCCGGAGGTACAAGTTATAGCTTCTACAGGAGATATAACTGGGAGAAAAGGCTCATTAATTTACAGATATTAAGTCAATAACTTCATTACCACACAATTAATTAGATAGGTTGGCTCTTCTTATATAAGCATAGCACTTAATTACATTTTACTCAACAAACTCTATTTTGCCTTGCTTGGAGGCAGAGAAGAGTGATGTCATTCTCACAGGCCAATAGCTACCATTCTTAGGAAAGTTACTTTGAAGAATTCCAGCTCCCAAAGTGACCATTATTTAGACTTTTTTTCTTTTTGCCCTATATCTGATGTTTCTCAACTCTCTCCTCCATATCAGTAAATAGGAAAATAGTCCATAAAATTCCCCCAACCACTTTCAAACCTCAATAATAGGTGATGAACAATAAAAAAGTGCAGTAAAGCAACATGTACAAATTACTATTCTTTTTACAAAACTGCATGAAAACTTCTGTGAATAAATTCCCAGCAGGACCTAGGAGAAAAATACAGAAAAAGCACTGTCTGAACTTACTGCAGGATGCACAATATTTTCTCTGTGATGTGCAGTACTTTGGGGCATAATGAAATCGTTTGCATGGTCCTAGTCACATAACTTTGTCAGCAAGGAATACATCTAAAGAAGAAATCATGCACTAAGTAAAGGCTGCTTCACAAACAAGATTAAATATGTACTGTGGTTGAATTCTAAAATCACTTTTTCCTTATAGTATCCACATTGAAAAGACCAGATGAACAAAGCCAGATCTGATTCAATCAAACAACAGAGAGTAACTCACAACCTGCAACAAGCAGCCACTCACAAAACCATCACAAAAAAACCATTTTACGATTTAGCCTCTAACAAATTGCCATCCCTCATTAAGAAAAGCCAAATGAGTCCCTGTCACACACTGTGCTCCAAGTTCAAACTGGTTTTGCTACCCCATACTGCATTTAGCTGCCTGGGTCTCCAGCACCTCCAGGAAAAGACTGGGTCCAAATCCACTCTTACTTGTGCCAGGCTCCTGCAGCCAGTCCAGTGCTTTGCTCCCAGCGCCCTTCTCTCTCGGTGGGCTGTGACACACTGAGCAGCTCTGCCGAAGTAAATCCTCTCCTGCTTTGGGGCTGCCTCTTTAATTCTTCCTCAGCAAACCTGGTTTATATTAAGCCCATCTGATCAGAGACAGGGCTTTTCCGTGACGTGGCTGGCCTTTCCATACAACAGCCAGCCCCCAGCTGGGAGGAAGCAGACATGCAGAAGAGAAAAAACTTGCAAACAATCTCAAAAGACTTACTCAAAATCATGTGATTGTTTTAATGTTGCCAGTAAAATAAACACTTTTGGTTCTTGCATGATGAAAACAGGAAAGTGGAACAAAAATAAATAATACATGGCATTTTGCCTCAGACAGCTTTTAATTCAAATGTTTATCAAAATTAACGATGATTCAAAAATTACCTATGTTTATTAATGCATGACATTCTGTAAAAGTATCTGCTCTCTGTCTGCAAAACACAACCCCCTTGCTGGACAAAATATTTCTCTGAAATAAAATATCTGAATGTTATTTTGAAATTTTTTAGAAGTAGGAATATTATTCTAGGGACTTTGTTGGGGTTTTGTTTGTTTCTTTGTTTTTAAAGCTCCAATATTTACAAACCTGTTATTAATCTCTCTCAGCCTCCAAGTGACTGTACCCAGTCTCCTGAACTGCATAACCATCTCACTTCTACTTCAATATTTTACTACCAAGGGCTTGAAAAGACATCCAGCTATGAATTTAGTGTTACTGCAGCTGGATGTTGGCAAAGATGCATCAGAACACACAAAGTCTGCACAAAGTCACACAGTGTTGATGCTGTGCACAGGAACAATCACTATATAGCGTACATGTCACAAGCCCAGGGTCTGGTCCTTGAATTTTTATAGCCTCATAGCTGCTTGGCAGAAGAAATTTTGCCAGAAGGAAAAAAATCCAAACCTGTTGAAACTTGTAACAACATACTGCTTCATTAACAAAGAATGAGAAACTGTGACAGAACTACTTGCTAGGGCTACCACAACTTTTTTATAAGTATACATAAACTCTCTAGTCAGCTCCAAATTATCCAGACTCTGGATTAAATATAATGAGGTCCTACAGCTTTCTTTTATATTTACATATTTACATTTTATATTTACATTTATATTTACAATCTCCTGGTCCCTGAACCTAACAGGACAAGTTCTTATCCTAGAAAGCCTGAACAACTTTGGTTTTAAACAGGGGATTTTTGGTTTTTTTGTGCTACAGGCAAGCAAATCCTTAATTGACAATGAACCTTTATTGAAGGGAACAGTGACATACAGAAAACATCTCTTGTTAACACTGCAATTGAAATCTCCTTGCTTTGTTTCCTTTTTGGCTCTACTGCATTCCTGTGTCTTTCATGAGGATTATCAGGTACCTCCTGAGCCATTCTCAAGTTTTAAAAGCCAAGAGCTTCTCACAAAGTAATAGGTACTCATCAATGTACATGGAAATTATGCAGATCTACCAAGGGTAGAATTTAGCAAATACATGCCCTGATTTTCCTTCACCTGTATTTCAGTGCTTGGCAGCAGTTAAACTGGCCCCAGGTCCTCATCTTCTCCTCAGCTGTCTCTTACATATCAGGTTCTGGGGCTCTGCTGCTGAGTGATAATCCCAAAGAGCACAAAGTGCCACATCCCTCTGTATAGGTTGTACAGAGAGGCTTGTAATTCTTACTGCACAAAATGTAACTATATCTCTCTCCTGGAAGGTTTGTGGCATGGACAGTACTTTGCAAAAACACTTTTCCTGTTGGCATTCTCAGCTGAAACTGCTTGGTTTCTTGAAACATACTGAAAACCATGAAGGTGAGTGGGTGGTTGGAGTACAATGCTCTGCACCTCAGGTTTGCATAGCTCTCTATAAGTTGTCTGTAATTTGTCACTGTTGAGTAAAAAAACAAAACCTGTCCTCTGCAGGACTGGAGAGATTTATGGCCAGAGTGATTGCAGCAAAACTGCAGGCTCTAATGTCTCACCCAAATGTTTAGCATATATCACAGCAGAAAGTGCAGACAGAAGAAATAAAGCAAAGTCAGAAAAGCCTTTGTGTTTAGTTGCAGTTACTGCTAGATTAGGAATCATTAGAAAGGCACTGAGAATCATCTTTCATATCCTCTGCATAAAATTCAAGGCAGACAAAGAAAACACATCTCTCCAGAACCACACAATATATCTCTTCCATAAAGCCATCAAGAAGGGTTGTCCCAACATGGCATGAAGTGCTTGTACTTGGGGAACTTCCACACATGCTTTCCTTTGTACTGTCTCTTCTGAGCCTTTCTGGTTTTTGGACAATTAACTCTTCAGGTCCCATTCTGCACTACACATCCACAGGATGAAGCATTGTTGATCCTCACAAAATGCCATCAGCACTCATGAACTTCACTCTATCTGTGGGGGAAACACTTCATTACTCGCTTTTAAAGCTGGAGAGAGATGAAGCCTTTTTAGCCTCCAGGTACTTACAAGGGATAGCAGCAGATTGATTACTGAAATATATGAGCTGAGTCCTTCTCAGGGACAAAAACAATCCCACAGATCGATGGAGACTGGTGCAGTCCTGGTCTGTTCAGCCCCTTTGCACTCTTTGCTGGTCAACACTTGTGCAAATCTTGTGCCTGCCCAAGACACAGGCACAAGAAGAGACAAACCATAAGGCCAGTGCTGTCGCAAAGCACACGAGTGCTTGAACGTAACTGCCTGGTGCAGCATTGAAATTCAGAGACATTGTTTTTCTTCCATCTTATCCACTCTCTGTTTCATTAATCACATCTTAAAGGAATTCTCCCTACAGCCAGGATGAAGTAAACATTGCAGAGTAGCAGCTCTGCAATCTTTCCCCAGCCAATTACAATTAGACCAGGTGATGCCCAGAGCAATTAGGCAGAAATTTTCTATTGGATATAAAAGCAGTGCAGTGGTTTTAGCTGACACTTAATTAGCCAGTTTGAATTTATTTATATTGTGGCAAAAGTAGTTCCTCAGACTTTCTGGTGTAAGGGTTGTCCACAGAGAGGACATAAAACATGTTGGAATGAGACAGAAATTCAAGGGAGGAAAAAAATTGTAAAAAGCGGGAAAAACAAAATTCAGATTTCTTTAGATGAAAACTGAATGCAGCATATTTGAAAGTGTACTTTCTCCCTATGTATCCAGCAGAGGAGTTCACCTTCATCTTTCCCCTCAGAAGGCCTGCCTCAGTAGACTCAGTTCCCAATGGTGAGTTGCCTGCACAGGCAATGAATGAGGTCTGCCTGCCTTACTCTCCTCCAGACCACTGTGCCATTCACATTTTGCTCTGCTTCTCACATCTGGCAGCGCTGGCAGGCCCCTGGCTATTCTCAGCCCTACCAACAACAGAGAGCTATGGACAGAAATTAATGTGGGTGCTGAGCTGGATAGTGCTGGACACTCTGGGAGTGCCCACAGTCACCACATGCCCGAGGGAAGCTGCTCCATTGTCACCATTCCTTCCTACTGCACAGGCAACCACAGGCAGCCTGGTGAGCAAATGTAGAACAAAAGGCAAAAGTAGATGTGGGATGAAGCAGCATTGGGCCCACAGCAGTGGGACTGCTGGATTATTTTCACCAATTTATGTCCACAGCATTGCCTTTGCCTATCCCAACTCACCACCAATGGCTAGGTATGAAGTTTCATACTAATTGTAAAGGTACAAGGGATCAAACACTCTGAGACTGGGATGTAGGAGGTAGGGAAATGAAGGATTATGTTCCTGAAGTAAATTATTGAGAGTCTTAAGAGGGAGACAGGGCAGAGAAAGACACTGAGAAATTAAGGAATAATAAAATATTGATTCATTTTAAGGGAAACAAACAGAAGCACCTAAGAGTACCAGCATCCAGTCTAAAAAATAGCCTTTGCTCTTTTCAGTTGAGCAGATTTGGTAGGCCCTGCTCCTAGAGTTGCTTGCAGAGAGTACTGTATTTGTTCCACCAGCTTCTTTCCTTCCACATCACAGCAGCATTTTTACAATTCTTTAACTGAGCACTAAAAGCAGAACATGACCTTTTGGTGATGAGCACAAGGATAGGGAAGAAGCACTGATCTGCACTCCTTGTGCACAAGTTAGCTGTAAAAGCCAGCATTAGAGCTCTCAGGGAATAGGATTGCCTTTAATCAGCTGACTCATTGGAGAAGCCCTTATTAGTCTATTACTAGCAGATAATCTGGATTCTGATATACCAAAAGGAATGTGTGTTCTATATCTGTGCACTGCAGAGCTTTGCTGACTATAACTGGTGTCCAAAGGTATCTTCCCCATTAATACATTAAGCCAGCACAGTGGAAGACTCAGCAGAAAATGAGAAATGAGCAGCCAGGGGAAGCAATGCAGTTCAGCTCATAACAAAATACAAGTTACTTTTTAGTCTAGTTAACTGAAATTATAATAGCTGTCAGCTTTGAGGGGAGAAAAAAAAAGCAATGATAAAGAATAAATGGCAAAACTGGATTATTTCAGTAAGAGTTGCTTAGCAAAAGGACTGCCTATTTCCCAGTCTAGCTCTCAATGACATTAATGAATTCTGCCAGTAATTGTCCAGGGAATGGGATTTAGTCATGTATGACATAAATAAATGTGCCTTTCAATGCAAATTTTTAAAAATTATAATATACTAATAATAGTAGGATGTGAGCTAGCCATAAATGTTCTTCAAATACTGAGCTAAAAGAGTCTTTAGATGCATGGCACCAGCACAGAAGATTTTTTGCAGCTGGGATCTTTATAGTATGCCACAGACCTCAGTGCAATCAGGTTCAGGAGCTACTGTGTCCTTTGCAGCTACAGGATTCACAGAATTTTACACATTGGTTTTATACCACTAAGTGAAGATGGTAATTTAACAATAGGCGACAGCTGCATCAGCAAACCATGGGTTAGGAACTTCAGCAGAACAATGATCTTGTTCTGATCTTCAGACCTGTTGAAGGGAGATACAGAAAAAGGTCTTTTGTTCCAAATGCAATTTCTTCTTCACGTGTTGTCCAAGACTCTTACACTGAGTGCAGCCAAAAATAATTATAAATACTCAGGCATACTCACACAGA